GGGAAAGAGGTCAACTTGAGGGTATTATGCAGGTATTTTTATAACAAGAGAGAAAACGAATTTTTACACCTTTTTTATTGACAAACTGCAAAATATAGTAATTTAGTTCTTTTTTTGTAGTATAGGTCTACTAATGAGAAAAATGGAATTCTCTTAGAGAAGACAACATTTTCCTCAATTCAGGTTCAAAGTTAGTGTTCCCTGTCATCAAAATTGATTGAAAATGTTCACCTATTGATCTGTAATGAGATCTTACATATTCACCTTTGAAAAGTCACACAGGTACTATGGAATACTGATGTCAATCCACACGCATATAATTTTAAATTGAGCATTTCACTGCCTGGAAAGCGTTTATAGAATTCTATTAGATTCTTTTTTTTTTTTTTTTTTTTTTGCGGTACGCGGGCCTCTCACTGTTGTGGCCTCTCCCGTTGCGGAGCACAGGCTCCGGACGCACAGCCTCAGCGGCATGTGGGATCTTCCCGGACCGGGGCACGAACCCGCGTTCCCTGCAGCGGCAGGCGGACTCTCAACTACTGCGCCACCAGGGAAACCCCTCTATTAGATTCTTCTCATGATATTTGCCCCTTTAGTATGTCAATATACACTAAATATAATTGCAGATTAATCATTTTCAACTGAATATTAGATGAAAGCGCCTCAACTGCATGGTTGAATGCATTTTGAAATACAGAAATCTTCTTTGGAGACTTTTGGAAATCTAAAACAAACAAAACAAAACAAAACCGCTGCTGGAAGTACAGTTTGAGCTTGGGAAACATACCTACGAAGGCATTAAAACAAGCGGGTATTAAATTTCATAGAATGCTCTTTTGGCATCTATTACATGTAGTATATCTCCTCCCTGTTATTACAGTGAACCACGTTGAAAGATTTGTCTAATGTGGAATTATCCTTACATTCCTTGGATAAGCCTTCCTTCCTGACCTTAACTCTTATTACACTTCTGGATTCAAAATATTACTAAGAAGTTCAATTAAGGTTTGCGCATCTATGGACATATGTCAGACCAGCCTATAAATTTTTTTCCCGTGCAAGCTTTACCTGATTACAGTAACAAGATTATACTAACCCTACAAAATGAGATGGAAATCTTTCCAGATTTTTTTATGAGCTATCGATAAAATAAGATGGGAGTTAATCTTCCTCGAAAGTTTGTTGGAACTTGCTCGACAGTAGTGCCTCTGTTCAGAAGAAAATCCGAGTTCAATTTCTTTTATGGTTTTTGGTCCATATCAGTATTTTACTTCTTCCTGAATCAACTGTGATAATTTATAGCTCCCTTAAAATTGTTCTTTTCATATTGATTTTAAGATCTGTTGTATTTATATCTGCAGTTATACTTTTCTTCATTCCTGATGCTACCTGTGCTTTGCACTTGTCTTCATCGCACTTGCCAAACGTGTCTGTTTTACCAGTTTTATAATAAACCAGCGTCTCACTTGTTAACCAGCTCAATTTTTCCTGTTTCACTAATTTTTCTGTTTTTCCACTATTTTGCTGCTTATACTTTGTGTTAGCTCAATTGATGTTGAGTTTCCTGAGTGAAAAACACATTTCACTTACATTTACTTTTAATCTTTCTCTAATGCATTTAAGCCTCCACTCCTCAGATTCTAAAGGCTGCTTTTACAGAAGTCCGAGGGCAATAAAATTCACTTCCCATCTAGACGTTGAATGAATCAAACTATTTTCTTTGCTGGCTTCTAGCATTTGACAACCCATTTATGAAGCCAGCACTTCATAATTTAACCTATAAAAATATTTAAAATAGATCTCAACACATTTTCTAAGCATCAAGCCTTAAGCTTAATAATACTGAGAATTTATTGAGGAATCGCTCAAAAATAAATGGAAAAAGAAAAGCAATTTAAAGTGTTTTGTGCAGAGAAGGTAAATGGAAGAAAAATGTTTCCTCCAAAAAAACTAACACAAAATTTCAGAGAGCTTACCAATTAACCCCTGTACGGGCAAAAGATTCAGAAGAGGACAGCCTGAGAACAGGCTTTGTGAGAAGAAAAGAGAGATTGTAGTTTGTGTTTAGGGCTGTCAAAGGCTGTTCTCCAATTGCCACCCAGGGCCACTGCGGTGCTGGGAGCTGGGGTTACTGCTGGACAGTCTGTCCAGTGAGTGGGCAGTGGAGAGAAGCAGAGACCTATACAAGTGCTACTTTAAAAGGGTTGAATGAAGTGACACAAAGCAATGACAACTGGATAGTGTTCCCAATGAATAGAAGGAATGAATAGCAATCTCCTCATGGGTTATTTGTTCAAACTAATGTAGGACTCACAAAGTCAAGTCCATAAATCTTGAGTGTACATCTTGAACTTTACATATGTTACACCCATGTAATCACCACCATGGTCATTTCCAGGATCTACGAAGGTTCCCTTGGGCACTTTCCCAGTTAGGACACCTCTCCAAAGGGTCACCACCAGTCTGACGTCTATCGCTACAGATTACTTTAGCCTATTTTTGAACTTCTTATACATGGAGTTATATAAATGGAATGGACCCTTGTATCTTTCACTCAGTATCATTCTGTGAGATTCATCCATATTATTGTAGGTCTCAGTGGTCTTTTTAAAAAATAAACTTTTGTGTAATATTATTTTGTGCATTTTATACAAAATACTCTGAACTGATTTACTTACTCTACTGGAGCGCTGTTTCTCAAATGTTTCTGGCACATATAAATAAAGCTGACACATTCTTGCATGTGCCTCCTGGTGGACATGACATCCATTTCTATTCGGTATATACTCAGAAGTGGAAACACTGTGTCAGAGGTTGTATATATGCTTAGCTTTAGTAGGTACTCCCAAACATTTAACTTCTACTAAGTGACATTTCCACCAGCAACATAAGAGTTCCAATCCCTTCAAATACTTGCCCAAACTATGTAAGTGTTTAACCATGTACATGGTTAAAATTTCATTTTAACCATTCTGGCGGGTATGTAGTAAGATCTTATTTTAGTTTCAATTTGCATTTGATTACTAATTATGTTGGGCACCCTTTCATATGTTTATTGCCCTTTTGTGATCTACTTTTATAAAGCATCTGTTGAAGTCTTTGCCTATTTTTTGGACAGACTTTGTTTTTGAACCATAGGCATTCTTTCAATATTCTGGACTTGCATTCTCAGTAAGACACATATTACATATACACACCACCTTTTCACTCTTTTAGGGGGTCTCTAAGGAACAAAAAGTTCTTCATTTTAATCAAATCTATTTTTTCTTTTATCATCCTTTTAGTGTCTTATTTAAGAAATAATTGCCTGTCCCAAGTTCATATTCTATGATTTCTTTTAGAAATCTAATTGTAATTTCAAGGTATGAGATAAGGGTCCAGGTTCATTTTTTTCCATATGAATAAGCAACTGACTCAGACTATTTAAAATACTTTTTTCCCCAGTGAATTCCACTGGCATCTTTGTAGTAAATCAAGGGTCAGTTTCTGTGTGTCTGTCCTTGGGCCAATACAACTCTTAATCACTGCAACATTATGGTAAGTCTTGATACTTTATAAACTCTCCAGCTCTGTTATTTTTCTTCAATACTGCCTTGGTCATTCATCAATTTCCACCAAAACCATTGGCTGAGACTTTGAAATTGCATTGAGTCTACAGTTCAATCTGTAGAGTGCAGACATCTTATTGATACCGAGACTTGCAAGTCATGAAAATAAAATCTTTCCATTTATTTAAGTCCACTTTAATTTCTCCCAGAAATGTTTTGTATTTTCAGTGTAGAGGCTGTGAACATCCTTCAGATATTTCAGGATTTATTCCAAGAAATTTTTTGTTCAATAAATGGGTTGTTTTCAAATTCTGGTTTCTATTTGTTCTTTACTAAGTATTTATAATTATCATTGGTCTTTCTATATTGACCCAATATTCAACACTCTTGATAATTCACTTATAATTTATAATAGTCCAAATATTATTCTGGAGTCTCTATGTACTCCCACACATGATCTACAAATAATAACTGTTTTATTTTTCCACTTTTGATGCTCTTTTATTTTCTCCTCATTACACTCACTAGAATCTTTAGTACAATGTTGAGTGGCAGTGATGACAGTGAACAATCCTGTCACCTAGTGAATGGGGAAACATTCAATATTTAATTAGGATGGTTTCTATAGATATTCTTTAACATATTAAGAATGTTCCCTTTTATTCCTAGTTTCCTGAGAGATTTTAACATAGACATATGATTTTTCTCCTTTATTCTGTACATGTGGTTGATTTACAATGAACAAAGTAACATTCTACTTGATTATGATGTATTGTTCTTTAAGTCTATCACTAGATTCAATTTGCTAATATTTTGTTTAGGATTTTTGTACCAATGCTCATAAGAAATATTGGACAGTATTTTTCTTTTCTTACAACTGACCTCTGTGCTCACCTTTCTTTCCTCCTTTCTACTTCCTCGGGATTCGATTTGCTTTTCTTCCTCTAGTATCTTGAAATAGAAGCCTGGAGATCACTGATTTTCAACTTTCCTTTTGTAGTAGAGGCATTTAAAGCAATAAATTTCCCTCTAAGCATTGTTGCAATGACACCCCATAGTTTTACATACAGGCATACATCAGCGAGATTGTGGGTTCAGTTCCAGACCATCACAATAAAGCAAGTCACACATTTTTTTGGTTTCCAGAGCACATAAAAGTTTTGTTTACACTATAGTCTATCAAGTTGCAATAGCAGTATATCTAAAAAAACCCAATGTGTATACCTTAATTTAAAAATACTTTACTGTTGGGCTTCCCTGGTGGCGCAGTGGTTGAGAGTCCACCTGCCGATGCAGGGGACACGGGTTCATGCCCCGGTCCAGGAAGATCCCACATGCCGCAGAGCGGCTGGGCACATGAGCCATGGCCGCTGCGCCTGTGCTCCGCGACGGGAGAGGCCACAACAGTGAGAGGCCGGCACACCGCAAAAAAAAAGAGCCTCAAGCGAGCCGTCATCTTTTTGCTGGTGGAGGGTCTTGCCTTGATGTTGATGGCTGCTGGCTGATGAGGGTGGTGGCTGCTGAAAGTTGAGGTGTCTGTGGCAACTTCTTAAAATAAAACAACAATGAAGTATGCCACAATGATTGACTCCTCCTTTCATAAACAATTTCTCAGTAGCATGCAGGGCTGTTTGACAGCATTTTATCCACAGCAGAAAGTCTTTCAAAACTGGCATCAATCTTCTCAAACCCTGCTGCTGCTTCATAAACTAAGTTTACATAATAGTCTAAGTCCTTTGTTATCGTTTCAACAGTCTTCACAGCATCTTCACCAGGAGGAGATCTAGAAAATTCTCAGCCATTTTTCCTTCAAATATTCCACTTGCCCCTTCTCCCTCTCCTCTTCGGGGGCTCGTATTCCACAGATTTTAGAACTTTTCTCTGTGTCCCCCATTTCTCTTATGCTCTGTTTTTTTCCTCCGTGATTCAGCTTCGATATTGTCTATTGACTTGTTCATGAGTGTTCCCATCCTGATTTCTGATGTGTCCAGAAATTATTCGAATCCGTCTAATTCTCAACTTCAGATACCATATTTTCCAGGTCTAGAATACCCATTTGGTTCTTTTAATAGACAGTTATCTATTGAGTTATCTTTTCACATTTTGATTTCTGTTTTAACATAGTTATTTTGAATTCCACTCGCAACTTATTGGCCAAAATTAGTCACATGGCTCTACCCAACCACAAGCAGGCAAGGAATGCAATCGTACTTGTTTGGAGAGGGTATAAAGATACAAATATTCGGGGAACAGCATTAACGATTACCACCCTTGGCTAGGGTCACAAAATAACTAAGGGTAAGCCTGGGTCTAAACACAGGCATTTCCAAATCCAAATATTTGTAACCTTTTTACTATAACAAAACCTCTCTTGGGAGCTAATTTATTACTAAGTTAAATTTTTTCTATAAATTTTTAAACTAGGGAAACTTGGCTTTCTTTTCTAATCTTTGAGTGGAAAATGGATACTGAATATACTGAATAAAGTTCTCATGATGAAGTGACTGCAATAATCCATGTTTTTAAAATTTTTAAATTGAGGTCTAATATATAAATGGAAAATACAATGAATTGTCACAAAGTGAACACACCGGTTCATCCATGTTCTAGGTCAAGGAACAGAACATTACCACTCAAGTCCCTCCCATACTTACTCACAATAACATTCCCCTTTTTCTTCCCCAAGGTAATCGCTGCCCTTACTTGCTTCTAACATGCCATGGTAATTATGCCTGTTTGGACTTACAGATAAATATAATCATGTATTAAAAATGCTTTTGAGTCTGGCTTTCACTTAACATTATGTGATTCATCCACACTGTAGTATGTAACTGAAGTTGGCTTATTTTCTTTCTATGTAGTATTCCATAAAGACATCACAATATATTTACTTATTCATTCTGTTCTTTTTGGACATTTGAGTTCCACTTTAGGGCTCTCTCTAATGATGTATATATGCTCTTGTACACCCTTGTATACGTTTTTTCAGTGCACATACGCTTGTACCTCATTGAAGCTGCTTGGCCAAAGGTCATAATTAACATTTCCAGATACTGCCAAACAACGTACCAGGGGTATAACTATGCAGACCCATCAGCAGCATACAGTAGTTCTCATTTTCTAAATCTTCTCCAAGAGTTGGTATTGTGATCTGTTACATTTCCATCAATTGTTTTTTAAGGTTCTGTACTTGTGCTGTCTACAACAGTAGCCACTGGACACATGTGGCTAGTGAAAACAAGAGAGAGGTCTAGTGCAACAAAGGAACTGAGTTATTTTTTATTTTAATTAATAGAATTTTTAAAAACGGATACTCTTCAGTTAGAGGATAACTTTTAAGTTAATTTGGAACGACACCAACATGAGAATCCACTTTTTCAACTCTAAATTTTAAGAAATCTAAACACAGAGGAAATACTTCTGATGAAAATTTAGTATCCAAATCGAGGTGGGTAGCAAATGTAAAATACACAGTGAATTTCGAAGATTTACTGAGTAAAAGCTGGATTTTTTTACATTAAAGATATGTTGAAATAACATTTTGAAGGTATAGGGTTAAAAATATTTTTTAAATGATTTTCACCTGCTACTTTTCACCTTTTTTAAATGGGTTAACAGAAAACGTAAAGTAACATATGTGGCTTACACAATATTTCTACTGAATAGTGTGGCTCTACACCATATATACTGATACATAAATAATTGAAAACTAAAAACTACACAGCCTGTTAAAGTACGGATATGTTGGTTTCAAATATGGTACCAATTATTTGTTACATAAAGCAATTTAACTGCTCTATTCCAGCAGAGAATCTCCCAATTTGGATTCAGGTGTGCCTTCTAAAAGAGAAAACCTTAACCCAAGTTTACAATAAAATGCATAATGACTAGAGCACACAATAAGACTCTTAGTAACAAAACATTAAACCAAGTCTTCTTGACTACAGATTTAAGTGATGCACACACAACCCTGTTTCAAAACCAGCGAATTCAGAAAACAAATCACCCTCCATCCACACATTCTCCACCCCAAACAACTGTCAAAAGAGCATACTCATTCAGAGTCAAACGCAATGACCAGGACCGAAGTTTGGGCTTCCTTTAAATTATATATTCTTAACAGGTGGTGGCTGGGCGGGAAGCGGCTGGTGCTGGTCACAGACTCTAGTTTAAAAGATAAAATAAAATAAACCAGACTACTAGTTAGTATATAACCATCTAAAAAGCTAATCACACCATTACGACATCTAACGGCCTTTGAGAGAGAAGGGAGGTCAGAGCCAAACAGTGGAGTGTAAGAGCATCCTTCCTGGATGCACCAGCTGAATCCCCAAAGCAATCCCTGCCCCATCACAAGGCTATCTTCTTGTGATAGCCCGGGAGTGTTACCTGCTTGTAACACACGAGGGTGTTAGCTATTTGCATTTCCCTGCAAGACGAATAAAAGCACTTGGCCCTCCCCCCACTCCTATACGGCTGAGATAGGGTGAAAGCAGTGCTGGCCTCACAGGGCGGCTCAGGAAGGACACGGAGGTCCTGGAAAAGACAGCCTGCAGGTGCAACTGGCCCCTACTCTTCGCCTCACTGCCTCCAGACAGCACAAGAGCCCCGCCGGCCGAACCCAGCTCTCCGGTCCCGGCCCTGACCCTCAACAGGCGAGCGTGTAGGCGGCCCAGCCCTCGCGCCCGCTTACCAAGGTCCAGGGCCTGGTGGCACCTGAGCAGAGCGGCCTCGGGCTGCTGCTGGCGCTGCAGGCTCCGCACCTGGCCCGCCAGCCTGCGTGCCCAGCACTCGGCCGGGAAGCACTTCAGCAGGCCGCTCAACACCACGTTGACGCGGCGCGCCCCGGCTCAGCGCAGCGCCTGCACACCGTGAGCCCGCACGGCAGCGTCACCGGCTTGTGCAGCAGCCGCTGGCACCGCGGGTAGTCCAGCAGGTCCCGAGGCGCCGCGGGCACCGAGGCCGACGGCCCCCCGCTCGGCGCCTCCCCGGGGTCGCGGCCCGGCTTCCCCACCGGTGGCCGCCGCTCGCGCGGGCCCGGGACGCACGCCAGGCCGCTCGCCAGCTCCCCCCTCGGGGAGGCGGCCGGGGCGGGCCAGCGCGTCCCCCAGCCGCAGGCATAGGCCGCGGTCTGGCCGCGCCAGGCCGGCCAGCGCGGAGCGGAAGAGCTCGGCCGCCGTCTCGTACTCGCCTGCGCGGAAGGCCTCGTCGCCCTTCTCCACCCGCTGGGCGAGCGGCTCCCCGCAGTCGCAGCCACGACAGGGGTGCGGCGGCGGGACTGGCTCGGGGCTCACTACCGCGGGGCTGCGGCGACTAGGGCCGGAGGGAAGAACGGAGAAGGGAGGATGCTCGCTGCCCGGGCCCGTCGACTGCAGCGCGGGCGTCGCCTTCGCCGAGAGCCACGCGCGTCTGTGGGTGGGCGGTGCGCGGCGGGCCGCGTGACCACCGCCGGGGGCGGGCGCAGGGTGGGGCCGTGTCTCCCACGCGGCGTGGGCGGCCGGGGGCGGGGCGGGCACGGTGGGCGCGGCCGAGCCCCGGCCCGCGGGGAACGCTCTCCTACCTCCCCTGGCTTAGGCAGCCGGGCCGCAGGCGGGAAGGCGGCGATCCCTCCACGTTCGTTCGGCGTCTCCGCAAACCCACTCCCTCCTCGCCCCGGGCAGCCCCGCGCGCGCGTCTGTGTACGCGCTCGTCTCCACGCGCCCTCGTCCCGCGCTTTTTCTGTCCGCCCCGCGCAGCTCCTCGGCCGTCCGCTGCCGCCCCGGCGCCTGGAGCAGGTGTCTTCGACCCGCCTTGCCACCTTCTCCCCGCACCACCGAGTGCCAGCCTAGCTCCAAGGCCTGGCCAAGCCCACCTGCGGTTGTGGTTTAAAAGAGAACCAATAAATAAGTACCAGGGATGTAAGGTGCAGCATGATGACTATAGCTAACACTGCTGTACCGTATATGGTAAAGTTGTTAAGAGAGCAAATCCTAAGAGTTCTCATCCAAGGAGAAAATTTTTTTCTTTTTTTCCTTTCTTTCTTGCATCTATATGAAAAGATGGAAGGTAGCTGAACCTATTGTAAACATTTCAACAATATATGTAAATCAAACCATCATGCTGTATGCCTTAAACCTATATAATGATGTATGTCAATTTTTTTTTTTTTTTTTTTTTTTTTTTT